ACAAAATCTTTGTAAATAGGGAGGGATGGAGGGGTTGAAGGGAGGGCTAGGAATGGGGAAAAAATAAGAACCAAGATGCATCATGTAAAGGTACAAGTTCCCAATGAGAAATGTAAATGTGTTGTATACCTAAAATGTACCAATAATAGAATTTAAGTAAAGAATGATAAACTAGAGACATTTATAGCTGAATGGATGCACATTAAAACTATACTTTTAAGTGAAATAAATAGGACACACATGTGTAAATACCAAATAGTTTCTCTGGTGTGAGAAACTGAAAGTGTAAATAAGGACCAAAATGTATAATAGATAATATGAAATAGGAAGAAAAAGTCCAAAGGGGAAGAGGAAAGGGGAAGTGGGAGAAAGGGGAAAGAAAAGAAAGGAAAGTAAAAAAATATGAGAAAAGGAAAGAAATGGAAACAAAGCCTTTGTAAATAAGGAGGGGTAGAGGAGTTGAAGGGAGGGCAGGGGAATGGGGAAAATAATAAGAACCAAGATATATCATGTAAAGGCACGAATTTCCCAATGATGTAGATAAAGATTCAAACTGTAATTAAAAGAGAAGTATAAAATTATTGCAAATTACCTTCTACATGCTATTTACTTATTATTGAAGATATTTATCGAGTGACTACATTTAACACTTTCTATCAGGTGCTATGGAAGTCATAAATAAGAATTAAATGTAATTCTTGCCCTTGAGAGTCTTACCATCTGTGCTAGTTACTATTTCAGGGCTTTTCAGATACAAGTCCATCCTTGCAGTTTTGCTTTGTTATTCTGGAGCTGGACAATGGAGATATTTCTGCTTTGACAATTAGTAAAAAGTTAAAATTTGCCAACAGAGGGTGATGAGGAGACACTGTGAGGACTGCAGGAGGGAAGGGCTTTCTTGTCTTCTGCATATTGTTTTTTTAGTGGCCTGGTTTGCAGGACAGGCCTGGAGTGTTTGCCTCACAGTCCTTAGGATTCAGTTAGGGCTCTATGTTAGCCATGCCCTCTCCTGTAAAAGTCTAAATTTCTTCCTCTCTGCTCAGTCTCAGCCACAGGCAGTAGCTGTGCCTGTAGCACTACTTGTGTACGTCTTAGAGACCACTCGACACCTCCCACTGGTCAGCAACTTTTTATATTAAATTTTTCCTGTTCAAATTATCAGTATGGTTTCTGTCTCCTGGTTGGTTCTTACCATATATATTATTGAATAAAGAAGAAAAGAGAGATGTAAATCAATATAAATTCTGTGTGAGAAAGGCAATGTAAGCTATAACCACAGCTCAGAGACCAAACAACTTCCGAGATATAAAGCTATATAATTATATATCAGACAGGGCTATATTTGGCTAAGTATAACAGAAACTAAATTCAGGGTCATATTCAGAGGTGGGGCCTTGTTAGAGAAGCTAGTCACTGGAAGTATGACCTGGAAGGATGCATTATTGTCCCCTGCTCCTCCCTTCTCTCTCGGCTTCCTTACTTTCATGCCAGGAGCATCCTCTGCCATGCTGTCCTGTCATACCATATCTGCCTTGGAGCCAGCCAACATGGACTGAATCCTCTGAAGTTAGGAGCAAAATAAACCTTTCCTCCTTTAAGTTCTGTTGGATATTTTGTCCCAGTGATAAGAAAGTGGTTAATACAAACCATATTTGGAAACAATCTATCATGCTTGTCTTTTTTACCTCATTCCTTGATTTCCTATGACCTATCACCCAGGCTTAGCAGATATTGCTAAATTATGATGTCTCATAACTGCTCACGATCCATGAAAAAGCAGAGAGAAATTAGGTCTTTCTCAGGTAAGCCCTGTTAATTGTTTTTGTTTGTTCATTTGTTTTGTGCTGTTTTTTTGAGACAAGGTCTCACTACGTAGTTCAGTCTGGGCTGGAACTCACTATGTAGTTCAGGCTGGCCTCTAACTCACAGTAATCCTCCTGCCTCAGCCTCCTGAGTGCTGGGATTACAGGCATGCACTACCATGCTTGGCTGGCCCTGTTCACCTTGATGATCTCACCTTAGTCCTCTCAGGAGTTGCTTATTTTCTTCAAACTTCTTCAGTGCAAATATTCTCTGTCAACATGAGGCAGTGTCACCTTCCTTCTATAATGCAAACCCAAGCAAAGTCCAAGTTAATCTATCTGGAATAGCTCTGTTACCATCCTGCTCCAGGGTTCTTCTCTCAACCCAGAAAGAATTATGAGGCAGAATCAAGAGAGAAATGAGCAAAATAATTTATCATAGAGTGAAAGCAGAAAGCTCTCGATACCAGGAGGAGACTCAAGTCAGTTGCTATAGGATCTCTTTGTCTAGGGGTTTTTATACACAAAAATGATTACATCTCACACCACTCTGGGCCGAGTTGAGGTCATCCTATGAGGTTATAAGCAGGAAAGTTTGACTTAGAAGTGGGCTTAACTTAGAACTCCTTAGAACCTGGGATATGTAGCAAGCAGAATTTTGCAAGCACCATTAATTATAACTTCTCTAAAATTACCAGCATGAGTAAAACAAAGGCACTCTTCAGAGGGGAGTAAGAATGGAGGCTTGGTGGGACTGGTTATCTATCACCTTGTTTTTATCACAGGAGGATCCCACTAGTTTAAATGGGACCCTTGCTCATCAGGCCACCAGGGTCCTGGCCTTGGCCATCATGTCCCCATCCTGGGGCCTGGGTTTTTGTTAGTTCTCAGTCCCAGGCTTCATTTTATCTTGTCCTTCTTTGGATCATCCTGACTCCCTCTGGACTTGGCTTTTTCCTGTCTGCCTGTCTTGCCTGATGAACACTCCCCTCATGGGCTAGTATCTCTCTGTAAAATCTTCTCATCTTCCCACAGGGTCCTGCTTGTTGTCCTCAACATTTTCAATTACACACGATGTTTTCCTGGAACTGATTGCTTAAATCACTATTGTGTGCCTCTCTGTAGGGAAATGGTACCTAAGTCTTAAGAAAATGAAATCCAGCTGGGGATTTAGCTCAGTGGTTCCACCATCTACCTCGAAAGCCCAAGGTCCCGAGTTCAATCCCTGGTACCAAAAAAAGAAAAACCCAAGGCCAACTGGAAATGTATAGAGGACTCTTGCTTCATCTCCCCCACATCATTTCAAGCACCATGAAAGGAGGCATGGCCATGGTAGGGTCCTCAACGTAACTGATCAGCTGGACTTCAGAACTTTGTGCTTCTCCTTGTCATAGGCATCGAGTGCGTGGAATCTGGCTTCTCTCCTGCCTTCTCAATAATTACTGCGGTTGATTTTGTGCTGAAGAGATAGAAGCATCACTTAAAATAACTCTGCATACAAATCCACTTAAAATGACTTTTCCCCGTAGACTATCTATTGTTGAAATTATAGGTCCCTATCACATTAATTCTACGGTACACACCACAGGACAGCATATACTTCAGGTTAGAACGCCATTTACTTCAGGTTAAAACTGAGCACTTGAGAAACTATACTAAAATCTCTTGTTGAACTGTACATGTGAATCACCTCTATCTTATGGGGTAAATATTGAGTCTAAAATATTAGCCCTAGTGTTATTTTGAACCATTTGCTTCTGAACTTGGATCAGTGAATTCTTAAACTTTTTTTCTTCTTCTTTTGGTACTGGAGATTGAATTCAGGGGTACTCTACCATTGACCTACATCCCTGGTCCTTTAAAAAAATATTTGGGGGGCTGGGGATTTAGTTCAGTTGTTCCGCCGCCTGCCTCGCAAGCGCAAGGTCCGGAGTTCGATCCCTGGTACCAAAAAAAAAAAAAAATTTTGAGAGAGTCTAAGTTGCTACAGCTGGCCTCAAACTTGAGATCTTCATGCCTCAGCCTTCTGATTAGCTCGGTAACAGGCATGTAACACCATGACTGGCTAAAGTCTTATTTTTCAAGTTTTAGTTCTAAGGGCTTCTCCTCAGGGTTGGTGCTAGATTATATTGTTCTTTTATGCTAAGTAGTAAATAGATGATCTTCTGCGTTAATAGTTTCACACAAGGGCTCTAGGCAGAGTCCAGTGCCCAGCCATCTCCTTAACTGGATTTCCGGCATGCCTGGTTTTTGTCTGTTGGTTTTTTTTGTTTTTGTGGTGCTCGGAATCAAACCCAGGACCTCACGCATGGTACGCAAGCCCTCTCCTCTGAGCTACATCCCAGCCCCTGGATAGTTAATCTTTTGTGTTGACTTGTATCACTTAATGTAATTCAAGGATCTATAACAAGATGAGAAGCTCAGGAAGAGCCATTTCTTTCCGAGATATTTCTGGATTCATCTGAAGAAAATGGTTTGTTCAAAGTTACCAAAATTCAGACGTCAAAGTTGAGTTTTAAAAACTTTTTTTAGTTCTAAATTCCTCATAAAATAATTATAATTCCTTAATTCTTCCAATTATAGAGGTAGAAGAAAAGTTAACCACCCCCACTTTACCCCAAGGCAACCCTGTGCTCCAAGTCACAAAGTTGTTAGGTCTATTCATTCGGTCATCCCTCTGTCTGTCCTTGATCAGGTCCTCTTTCAGGTAAAGGATTAGCCACACTTACGGAACCCTCTTTCGGATTCCTTGAAAGAAGTATCTTCAGTTTGTTGGGGGTCCTAATTTCTTGTCAAATAGTAAATTAAGCCCTTCCCTCCGACTCCTTTTTTTTTTTTAAACAGAACGCTCAGGAAGGGAGCAGTAGCAACCAGTAAACGGCCAAATCCCCCAGATAAACGTAAAGAAAAAGGCCCATTATCCTCTGGCCGGCTCAGAGCAAAGGCGAAACACCTGTTCAGTCTTCTCTGCCAGGGCTCGTCCTGGATTTCTTTTTCTCGCCCCTGACTGCCAGCCCCACACCGAGTAGCTGTCTTTGTCCTTCCCGGTAGTTATCAATAAAGTTGTTACAAAGTGACCTTGAGCGTCTCCCCCCGCCCCGTAGATCCGCCACCCCGCCTTCTCCATCCGGGTGCTACGGCGCAAATAAGAGCCGGATTGCGCGTGCGCGCCCAGCTCCACTCCTTCGACCTCTGCCGCCGCAGCTGCCGCCGTCACCTCGTGGAAAGGTAAGTGGAAGGCGCGGGAGCCAGGCCCGGTCCGGGCGGAGCAGCGCCCAGAAGAGACCCATTCATTCTCCTGGCGCCTCGCTGGGCACGCAGCCCAAGCTGACGGCGTGTACGGGAGCCCTCGGGGCCTGGGTGGGAAAGACCGGCCCCTGGAGGACACATGACCTTAAGCTTCTTTGCCTCTGCAGAGAGGAAGCGGGAGAGGAGCCCACGTCGCCTGTTACCCACATCCTCCAGCCGCGCCCCTCCGAAGACTAAAATGTTCGCCTGCGCCAAGCTCGCCTGCACCCCAGCTCTGGTGCGTAGCTCCGCTGGCCTGGGGACCGAGGGCCGCGCCTCTTGGCCTGCAGCGTCCACGTCGTTGAATGGGGCAACCTGCGGGCGGGGCACACATCCCTCTCGGGAACAGCTCTCTCCTCGCTCCCTAACCCGATGCCCTTTTCTTTCTAATTTGGGACATCGCATATCTCTCCTTCCCTCCATGAGGGCGAAGAAGAGCGGCCAAGGCCTAGCTGTCAGGCCTGTTCGGCGTAGGTCAAACCCTCCATGCCCCGCGTTCCTGAGTCCCCCTCCCCCACCTCGGTAGTCTCTTCTTTGGGCTGGGGTCAACGCCAAGGTTGGGATATGGAGAGAGCGGTGGGGGTCGCTGAGGCCTAGTTCTCCTCAGCAGCTTTATTTTCCATAGCCTCCCTGTAGGTCAAACTAACTGCTGCAGAGGGAGGGACTTTGCCTCACCAGTGTGTGGGTGGAGGAAGGTGGCAGAGGAGCCCAGGCAGAGCCTTTCTTCCTGCCTCTGGGATATTATTTCCATAATCATTTTGGAGGCTTTCAGTTAAGTCTAATTCTGGAGGATTTGCCTTAGAAAATCAAGTCTTGGTTCTGAAGGGATTTTTCTGTGACCTTAGTGTAGTGGACACTCAAGGGCATAGAAGCTATGCTGAAATACGTCCTTGTGATGAGACTGTCTCACTGGTTGGTCTTAAACTAATACAGATTTGCTTATGCTTTTTTTAAAAAAATGTATAACTAATAGGCATACAGGAATAACCTTTGGGATAGTGGGAGCTCATATTAACTGCTGGGCCATTTTAACTGGCAGTGCTTATAGTAACACTACTAATGCACTTGTTGGTCCACATAACTTACCAAAGAATATGTGGGTTTTCACCGAATTATGGTATTACAATAATTGAAATGTCACTAATAATGCTTATTCTCTTTTTGTTTTTAGAATTTTTGTTCAGAGTACTACAAATACATTATGTAGCATGTTTTGCAATTTTACTAGCAATGAAAACTTGTTAAAATCACTTCATGTATTGAAAATGACCAAGTAGCCAAGATGATTTATTATAGACAAGTCTCTTACTTCTGTTGCTTGCTTTAGAACTCTTGGTACAAGAAAGGTCATTGATGTCTTAACTGTATTTTTAATACTTGGAATTTTTTTTAATTAATAGATCCGAGCTGGATCCAGAGTTGCATACAGACCAATTTCTGCATCAGTGTTATCTCGGCCAGAGACTAGGACTGGAGAGGTAAGAGAAGTAATTGTAGAAATTAGGTGATACTGCCAAGTAAATCTTGTAGTTTTGCTTACAGTAGCTGGGAGGGTAAACCTCAGTAATGAATGGTTTCAGGGCAGTCCTTTTTCACTCTTTTATCTAAAAACTATGTAGAGGATGACCCAGTGAGAGGATGTTCTGTATCTAAAACTTAGCCACCTCAGTAGGTTAATAAATATTGTAGTATTTATTTTGAAGTTTATAGTTTTGAATTGCATTTAAGAGTCTAATAGCCATTAACCAAAAAAAACTACTCTATTGAAAAGCATATTCGTGTATGCTGTTTCATTTACCTTTTAGCAACCTTATGAAGTGTAGAAATTGTTATCCATATTCTGTGAGATCAGAATTATTTTAAGCTCTTGATTTTTCTGTTGTGCTGTAAACTACCCATTTACACTTAGCTACAATAGATATCTTGACAGTACAATATTTAAGATCGCTATTATTACTGATTTAACCTTTGCCTTTATTTCCTGTTCTCTAGGGCTCTACAGTATTTAATGGGGCCCAGAATGGTGTATGTCAGCTAATCCGAAGGGAGTTTCAGACCAGTGCAATCAGCAGAGACATTGATACTGCTGCCAAATTTATTGGTGCCGGTGCTGCAACAGTAGGAGTGGCTGGTTCTGGTGCTGGAATTGGAACAGTCTTTGGCAGCCTTATCATTGGTTATGCCAGGTAATCATTTCTCTCCCTGAGTAAGTTAAAGAAATAGTTGAAAATTATGCTTATAATACTTGGAAACTTAGAAAAGTAGTGAAATAACCAAAGCTATTTTGTATTAAGTGCCTACTGTGTGTCTTGCATTATATTTTCAGGACTTTGTATACATTATCTCACTTAATCAGAGGAATAAGAAAAATGTCAAGATCCATTTATTTATTTATTTATTTTTTCTTTTTTGATACTGGAGATCAAACTTGGGTCCTTGCGCTTGCACAGCAGGCGGGGAAACCACTGAGCTAAACCCCCGACTCAAGATCCATTTAAATTGATACAAGGGACAGCTCCTTATCTTATACCATATGATTAGGATTGGGAAGAAAGGAATGTGAATGGCAGAAGGAAGCAAAAGAGATCTAGGCAAATACTCTTCCAGTAGACTTTGCAGTTTGCAGATATCCTCACAAGTAATTTGATTCTTTAACATTTATCAAAAATATTGAAATTAATATTTCAAAGTAACAGTCATGTGTTGTATCTCTTTTAGAAACCCTTCGCTGAAGCAGCAGCTGTTCTCATATGCTATCCTGGGATTTGCTTTATCTGAAGCTATGGGTCTCTTTTGTTTGATGGTTGCTTTCTTGATCTTGTTTGCCATGTAACAGAAATTACTGCGTGAAATGTTGGTATTCATAGTAATTACGGATATAATTCTGTGTATCTTACTGTGACTCCGAAAACTGTAGTGTTGGTGTCATGGAAATGTACATTATTTCCAAAGTGGTTTCATTAAAGATGAAAACTTTAATTTTTGCTGTGACTTGTACTTATCTAAATTTAGATCACCACAAAGAAGATGCGTTCAGGCAGATACTGTCCCAGTTCAGAGGAAGCTGTAGCAGTTGCCCCAAGAAAAAGAGCCTACTGTAATTTTTATGGGAATTCTTTTATATAGTGTTTTGTACACTGTAATTTACAGGGCTTTTGTTCACATAAAGGAGAAATATTATAGTTCTTTGAGCTCCTATGAAATATGATTAAACCAAGATAATTGCTGAAGATGGTTTTGTTTTTAAGGGTTAACATGAATTAGAATATTTGGAAACAGCATCTTCCAAGTTGACTTAGGCTTACACAGCTGGAGCTAAAAATAAATATATCAGTTTTTTAAGTCATGAAGCCTTAAACTGGGGGGGAGGGTGATTTTTATTTTTCAATAAGTCTCACATTAAGCAATTGTGTGTTTATAATGAATCACCATGTGTCTTCTGACTGGCAGCTAGTTTCTTATTTGCACAAGACTCATTAAAAACCAATTATCAAAAAGTGAACTGAGATTGGCTACATTTTTAAAAACCGCAAGTTGCTAGTTCTTCTCACTGCTACTAACGTGTACAGTAGGAGTCTTAAGAATGATTGTTGGTTCAGCAGTATTTTGATTCTAATGTTGCATGTTGCTGCTTGGTCAAACTTTCCGAAAAGGAAGAAAGTGATGCTACTATACAGACTGCCTTTTTACCCTAGAAAATAAACCATATCATCATATATTTGTCATCTAAGTTTCAAGGTTTATTTGAAGATTAAGACAATTAGGAAAGCTACATTATACTACTTGAGCGCTCTTTGATTTGCCTAATCTGATTTCAACTGAGAAAGAGTAGTTAGATACAAGAATTTCTGAAGTATGGAAAACCTCAGGGAAGATCTCCAAAAGAATCATGTAGGGTGCTTATTTAAAATATAAATCCCTAATCTCTAGACCTACTGAATTAGACTCTTTAGCCATGAGATTTAGCAATCTGAATTTTTAAAAAGACTTCTTTGCAGACAATTTTTGAGCTTAACTGTTTGAGAATCACTACTTACATTTGCTACCTTCCATAGAATGAAATGAGGCCCAAAAGGAGAGCTAGAACTACAGCTACTTAGTTGACTGATCATGTAGTCTATATCATATAAAATTACTGGAGTCCAAACTATTTCTTGAATAGTACTACCCAGTATTTGAACTTAGCAATGTCAAACATTTTATGTAACCCAGCAATTCCATCTTGGATATATACCGAAAAGAATAGATACTAATAGTTATTCAAACAAAAACTTCACAAATGTTCATAGCAGCACTATTCATGGTAACCAAAAGGTGAAAACCAGATGTCCATTAATTGGTGAATGTATAAACAAAATGTGGTATATCCATATATTATTCAGCCATAAGGAATGAAGTAAGAATACATGTAAAACATGAGCAATCCTTGAAAAAGTGCTAAGTACAAGAAGCCAGATGGAAGGCTACATATGCATGATTTCATTCAAGCCAATAAGCAGTTACTAGAGATGGGAAAGGGAAGGGACTTCTTAATGGGTGTAGTTTCATTTTGAGGTGAAGAAAATGTTACAGAACTAAATAGTGGTGATGGTTGCACAGCACTGTAAATATACTATTACTGAATTGTATACTTTAAAATGGCAACTACATGTATTTTACTACAATTAAAAAATAACTACTATGTAACAAAGTATATGGTAAAATCCTAACAATTTTAAAATCATAGGGAAATATTTAGATTAATCCTGTGGTCCAAGAGTTAAAAAATCAGTCTTGGTGCCGACCTATTCTTGGTGCTGGTTTGGTGGTTGAAACTTTTCTTCTGGGACAGGCTTCTTGCAAGAGATGGTCCAGCTAAGAGATCCTCTCAGTATGAAAAAATACCTGAGTTGTGGCTGCATAGTCTTCAGGTTACAGAGTGAAACAAAATTCTATCTAGGCAGGCAAAGGAAATACTGCATCAAAGGGCCAACATCCTGGAGTATATCCTTTGACTTACTATTTTATTTTTTATTTCTTTCATTTCTGACAGAAAGTACACCACTGGAATACATCTACTGTCAGCAGATATATTTATTATGTACCATTTATATCAGGTACCACCTCCCTTAGTTTATGAGCTTTGCAAACAAATGTTAGTAGTAAATGCTTTTTACTACCTTGTTTCTGAATACAGACTGATAGAGATGTTACTTTCACACCAATCAAACAAAATGAAGAATTCCCCTGTTGATAATAGTTGGTTTATTTTAAAACTCCAGCAGAGCACCTTAGAGGGTAGCAATTAGACCATATTTACTCAAAATATTCCTTAATAAGGCATTTCAGATTTCAGGCATCCTTTTTGTTTGGTAATATGTTGTTTCTTTAATGCAGCAGTGTATTTTTTATGTCTTTGGGATTCACTCAAAAAACAGATTTGAGTATGACGTCTGAGCTAAAGAGAAACTTGTCATTGAGGGACAAACACATACGTAAATGAAATTCAAAGTGAAATGGAATTCTGTGGGAATGGTTGTTAAGTACTAAGATGTTCAGAGAAATTTGAAATATTTTCCAATGAAGGAACACATGAAAAAGTGCTATTTGTCAAATACCAAGTGCTATAGCAAATACAAACTTGATCTGTTAAAATGAGGACAGGCCAATACTCTTAAGTGAAATAAATAGGACACGTGTAAATACCGAATAGTTTCTCTGTTGTGAGAAACAAAGTGTAAATAAGGATCAAAATGTATAATAGATAATGTGAAATACGAGGAAAAGGTCTAGCGGGGAAGGGAAAGTGGGAAGGGTAGGGGAAAGGAATAAATATGAGAAAAGGAAAAAATGGAAATGAAGTGCAAATAGGGAGGGGTGGAAGGGTTGAAGGGAAGGCAGGGGAATGGGGAAAAAATAAGAACCAAGATATATCATGTAAAGGTACAAATTCCCAATGATGAGTGTCATCATATTGTATACCTAAAATGCACCAATAAACTTAATGAAGGAAAAAAAATTAAAAAAAAAAAAAGAGGACAGGCCAGAAGAGGAGGATATCTTGGCTAGTGAATAGCCAGGGAAAGATAAATCAGCCAAACGTTGGTATGTGAGAAAAGAGTTGCCTTGGGTACGGAGGGAAATAGTGTGAAATAAGGCTGAAAGGTAGACTGGGACCAAATTATGTATTCTGGCAGATACAAGACTGGATTTTAATAATATGACCACAGGCAGTCATTGAAAGTTTAAAGCTATGTTTTAGAAAAGTTGATTTGAGACCAGTGTGTAGGATAGACTGGAGCCAAAATGACCAATGGCAATTCCAGTAGCTTTGCAGAGAGAAAGAGGCCTCATCTAGGATGGTGGCAGTAAGTATTTTAAGAGTCTGGCTAGATTGATGCCTAGATCTCTAGAACAAGTCAGGAGAGGAGAAGATGTGTACAGCTATGAATGCTAGTCCCTATGTTAGAAGCTTTATATATACTCTTTTAGCCCTCAAGACAGCCCTGCCAAGTTGGAATTCATTTTCAAGATGCAAAGGAGTTAAACAATTCCCCAAATCAGTTAGGCTGAGTCAGGATCCATATTTAAATCTTTCCTGATTCCAATGTCCATGCTTTGATTTGCAGTGTGACTCTGTTAAGGATGACAGGGGAAACAGGTTTGAGGAAATTTGTTCTTTTATATAACTTTAAATACAAGAGGTATAATCTTAAAAGTGGACTTGACTAGAAAGAGGAATAGCATAGTGGTCAGTGTGGAGTAGATGTAAATAAAAGAACACAGCAGTAGTAAGGACCTAGTTCAAGATAGATGACAAATCCATAGTGAATCTTACTAACCTAGATTTGTGACTCTGCAGCAGTGTTGGGAAGCTTGTTAATCCAAACTGATACAAGGAACAGGGAGCATTATCAGGGCTGAGCACTGACAAAAAGAAACAACCGAAGGTCAAGAGAGCTGTAAGCAGAAAACAAACAAGTATATTGTTCAACAGGATAACCTATGAACCCCAAACAGCAACAAGTGAAGACACAAAGGTGATAAACTAAAATAGAAGAAAGGGCTTAAGGGCCCAGAGGTCTTAGTAAGGTTGATGATCCATTTCAGTAGGAGCTAAAAAATAATCAGAAATATAAATAGCTTCAAAATTCAAGGTCTTGGAAATCAGGTGGGTTCAAGGAATGATCAAACTTTTTGTCAAGTTGCTAAGTGACCTAAGGTGGGTAAAAGTAAATGTCACTGTAGTTACTGTTAAGGATTGTAGGCAAATAGGAAATACCAGTTGAGAACCAAATAAACTATATTCATACTTTTGCTTTAAGTTTTAAGATCTGTTAGAGAAGTTTAGCCAATATGATTTGGTTTGGGTGTTAGGTGTTTGGCAGAGGGAAATTTGTATTGTTATGGTGCTAAAAGCCTTTTAAAATATGTGATTTCTGCATAAGAAATTACAAAGAAATTGAATTCTCCATACCATATCAACTTAATAATGTCATGTATTATTCCAGTGATAAATTATGCACATAAGAGCCAAGCACATGGTCCATCAGTTACTTGCCCAATCTTTAGATTATTAAAGACAATTTATTTATTTTTTTTCAGATCCAATACCAGTCTCTTCTGGCTCAACAAATTATGGCAGTTGGATTCGGTCTCTGCCAACACTACGCCTTAGCTTGCTTTGATGTAGTTATAGTAGCCAAAACTTGTCATAGAAAGGGTTTTTTAAAAAATGCATTGATTTCATGTACTTTTAAAAGTAGGTAGTATAAATTTATTTATATTCCTCTCTTCTCTCACCCATTCCAATCCCCCCCATACACACACACACACACACACACACACACGTTCCCTTGCATATGGATGTATTTCATAATGCACTAGAGAGTGCTAGTCAGTGAGGTCTGGGTCAGCAGCACCACCTGACAGCTGGCTGGAAAGGCAAGTTCTGGAGCCCCACTCAGCATGTGCTGGATCAAAATTTGCATCTCAGGTGT